GTTCTATTGTGCCATTTAGTGTGAATAAATATATTATATGGATGATCGTCAGAAAGTTCTATTGTGTCATTTAGTGTGAATAAATATATGGATGATCATCAGAACGTTCTATTGTGTTATTTAGTGTGAATAAATATATTGTATGAATGATCGTCAGAACGTTCTATTGTGTTATTTAGTGTGAATAAGTATATTGTTATGAATGATCGTCAGAACGTTCTATTGTGTTATTTAGTGTGAATAAATATATTATATGAATGACCGTCAGAACGTTCTGTTGTGTCATTTAGTGTGAATAAATATATTAGAACGTCATTCGAACTACTAAGAAACTTTTATATTAGTTATATGTTTCACGTATTGATAGAAAAGTTACAATGTATTATGAACGGGTTGGTCAGTTACTGTGTTCATTAACTTAATGTACTTGGTTTTCAATTTTTACATCGCATGTACTTTAAAAACTTACACTATCACGTATGTTGTATTCCAGACCTGAGCTTTGGTCAGTTGAGTCTCCAACCTTCTGGTAAGGCGCATAATTACTTTACCAACGATAACTTCATCATAACCTGCTTAGTGGGTGATGGGAAAACAGCGACCGAGATGAAGTGGATCGGGCCGTTTGGAGATGACCTTGGTGCCAGTGAAGGAAGGTAAGGTCATAAAGTTCATTTTATAATCTAGGTGAAATACATAAATGTTACAAATAGTTTTCTGAAGCAGTTATAACTGATTGAAAGAATCCAATTAAAACTGTTACTTAATTAAAGATTATGTTGTAAAGAGATATACAACACGTTACCGTTTTCATGAATCAAATAATCACTGTATTGTGAAACAATGGAAGGAAGTGTTTTTGTATGTCAGATATTATATAAAGAAAAGATTTTAAGAGTCATCACAGAGCACACACACACACAAACAACATGTTTCTTATTTGGTATATTTATATTAATGGCTTTATACTCAAGAAACAAAGACGGATTAATTGGGGTTTTTTTGGGGGGGGTTATGAACAGAAACAAACTTACTTATACACTGGGTGGTAATTTTGGTTACGTCCTTTCAACCTCACGTGTTTGAGGACAACTAGGGGTATTCATAAGTTTTTTTCCGCTTCTCTTCAACCCAGCTGCTTGGTGAGGGATTTACATATTCGTGAGTTTATAGTTTGTCCTGGATTTGGTTTGACCGGGTCTGGAAGCTTAGAAAATCAGGTAGCGGCGCCTTCGAGGATGCGTCGGGTGGGATAAAGCACTAGGGCTAAAAATTTTGGGTGTGGGAGGTGGCAGTCTAACAGAAAAATAAATTCATCACTGATACTTTATATCTAGAACATTTGTTATTGTTATGAAGCCCCCCTAGTGGCACAGCGGGATGTCTGTGGACTTACAACGCTAAAAACCTGGTTTCGACATCCGTGGTGAGCAAAGCACACATAGCCCATTGTGTAGTTTTATGCTTAACAATCAAGCAAACAAGGTTTCATGAAGTTGTTAGTTTTTAAACGGTTAGAATGCAGAATACTAACTTTAGTAAAATGACTTGTTGTTTTTTGTTAATTAATTTGCATCACTAAATAACAAATTAATGTTTTTCAGCAATTTTATGTATACATATTTGAATCTAGTAAACGAGAGTGCATTTACCTTGCGTTATAGCAGTTCTAAATTCTTATTTATAGTAAAAATAGTTGCCATGTATTAACTGGTAAAGAAACTAAATTTGTTTGAGTTCTGGTGTATTTCGATAACGTATAAACATGGTCATATCGCTTGAGTTAAGGCTCAGTCACCTAACGTATATTTATGGTTGAACTAGTTACCTTTTAATTATTCTTTTAAATATAAGTTAGAACGTATTTTAAAGATAAAAACGCATCTCAAGGGAAAGTGGGAATTCAAATATTGCATTTTTCCAAACTTTGTGGAAACCAATAGTACATTTTAAAGTAAATTTCTATCATTCCTGCAGTTGTTAATTATTTAGTTGAGCTGTAGATTTATATTTGTAATATTTATGAATTTAAGATTAACAAGACTTATCCTGAATGATTTAATTATATTTTCATACATATACATATATATATTACTCAACTAATATAGTGACAACATTGCTGAGATAATTTATAGTATTTATTCCAGTATTATAATAATCAAACAAACTTCAACATGCAATAATGTTGCATAATATTTAGTTTTACACTTAATAATAAATCTCAGCATTAAACACCATAAGCAAAAACAAAAAAAACATTACGCCTTGTCTAAAATATCTATCGAGGATACTCAGCGAATGATCCTTTGTTATCTAATCAATACAATTTTAATTTTCTTAGTTAGAATGGCACATAAAAGTAGCCACATTATTTACCAAATTAATATTTTAGTTGTAATCTCTGTTCGCTTTTTTTTTTCAGAATTTATTGAGACTCCATATAAGGATGTTATTCCCAACTTCTGTGTTATACTAATGCATGTAATACTTGGAAACATTTTTGTACACTGCTATCATTTTCACTTTATTAAATTTTCCTCCTTAAGTTAACAATGAGAAGATTGATGCAATTCAAAAATGCTTTAATCAAAGACGTAAGACAGTGATTTTAGGTTTTCCAACTGACTTTTTTATAAGGACTGCTGCATTACAACGTTTAGGTCCACTACGAATGATTGATTAGCTGGTTAGATGTACAGCGTGATTAGATCAGCACTATTACACTGTTTTTATTTCTTTTCGCTACTTTTTGTGTGCACTTTCACTGAGCTATTACTTTTTCATCTTAGCTATGAAAATTGAGCGACACTTGAGGTTTATATTAATATACTGGGTTTCAAAGCACTACAACTTGGTACTTTTCGTTCCGTTTGTGCTGCTAATACCTGCGTATATTGTGATCAGCACTAATATTCTTACACGTTTATAACCTTACTTAACTAACCCATTTTACTAAAAGAGTAAACGAAGCATATGTCCAATGAATATGAAAGATGACCTTGTCTGATTTACACTTGACGTATAAAAACACGCTCCTTATCTTAACCAAGCGATAATCAGTGTTATATGTTTGGTTGTGATGTTGATCCAGTAACAGAAACTGTTCTTTTATGTATGAGCAGCTTGGTTAAACAACCATTTTTATGACAAACTGTTCGTTTATTTACCCAGTTTGGTGGCTTATTAGTATCAGCAGTTTGAATTATTCATATTTTATCACACAGCATTTTTCTTTTTTTAACTTTTAAGCATACACATTTTCCATACTGTAATATGTAATAGCTATTGTAATAGCTTATAAATGCGAATAAAAGTGGATACTTAAATTCTGAACTCATTGTTTATTTCAATAAAGAACGAACTGTGTTTACTTAGGTAGATGACAAAGAACTGAAAGTATGTGAAAGATATTAGGTATAAAAGTGACAACATCTTAACAATATAAAACAACTGACAATATTGACGCTAACAACGACATCCTACTAACGTTTTAATGCGAAGATGACTCCGTAATAAAGTAACAATAAACATCTTAATAATATAAAACAACTGACAATATTGACGCTAACAACGACATCCTACTAACGTTTTAATGCGAAGATGACTCCGTAATAAAGTAACAATAAACATCTTAACAATATAAAACAACTGACAATATTGACGCTAACAACGACATCCTACTAACGTTTTAATGCGAAGATGACTCCGTAATAAAGTAACAATAAACATCTTAACAATATAAAACAACTGACAAATTGACACTAACAACGATAAAACGACATCCTATTAACGTTTTAATGCGAAGACGACTCTGTAATAAAGTAATAATAAACATCTTAACAAAATAAAACAACTCACAATATTGACACTAACAACAACATCCTTCTTACATTTTAAGACGTAGACGACTTCGCCAGTTCTTGCGCTACCCTAATCGAATAGTCGGATTGGACCGAACTATAAAGCATGGCAACGAGACACAAGTCATGGATCCTAAAATTCACAGTCAGCCACACTAAACACTAGGCCTCGCCGAATCCAACTAACTATTGGTACATAGTTGATCCACAAGCAAGGCAAGACTAGAATATGTGACTATATGTTCAGGGAAAATCTGGTATCCCATACTTAACAAGGACTCTCCCATCTTAGTTACAAGTACTGCAGAAGGCGCTGATAATGTATGCACTTCTCTGCATAGCTCCACGCATATACAGCGCAGAATTTACCAGAGATTAAATCTCCAAATTCTGTATAAAAAATTGAATGAGAACGCATACTTATGTTGATATTACCTAGTCTTGGAAGAACCATTATATCATATTACAACTAAGTTATTAGCATATAATTCGTCATAAGTATTGTATTATCAGTCTCCTATGGTGGCGCTTTCTTGTGTATTAAGCGGGAATATTAGAGTAAAACACATTATAATATTTCCGACAGTGTGATAATTTTTGTTATCTTCTTGCTCAAGCTTTGATGTACGTACTATATTATGTTAAGTTCTATAAACGAATGATTTTAGAATTTACAATGGTAAATAGTATATACATTCAACATTTAGCTAGTACTGATGACTTATTAAGATAATGTTAAAATTTTTCCTTTTCTTATCTTTTGACCAAAGCGTAGTTGCTATACAAATCCTTGTACTCACACGACTGTCGTGTTTTACAATTGGCAGGATTCATGTCGAAACTCAAGATAATGCTCTTGGACTGGTTGTAGAAAGGGTAAAAGAAGAAGAGGCTGGCAAGTATATCTGCTCCGCTATCATTGATGGCGAGGAGGTGACAACGTCATTCAATCTCGTAGTTCGTCGTAAGTCGATTAACACTAGTATAAAGATAGTGCTGGCAGTTTGTTGAACAATATAACATTTACTATGACGAGTGTTGCTGTCCTTTTCTAAGTGATTATTTATACTTAAGTAGATTACGAGTTACATATGTATATGTAAAGCGATAAAACTCTATAACCCGAGCGCTTTCGAAAGGTGGACCTTTCTTCTTCAGGAGTAAACTGATTCCCAGTTTACCCCTGAAGAAGAAAGGGTCCATCTTTCGAAAGTCATCGGGTTATACTGAAAGAGACAAGTGTTAGATTATAATTTAGCTGGAAGAATCACTAGCGACATAATCAAACCTCCAAATGACCCATACTAAGTTATAATGTCAGCACAGACAGAAATAGTTTCTCGGTACCTAACATTTGCCGAGCAACTAGTTACGTTTGAATTATTAGAAAATACTCTGGTGTTTAGCAAATTTTTGTCCCTTCAAGTTAAACTTTTTTCTAAGCATCAAGATCACGTTTAGCCATAATTTCTGTATTATAAAGGATACTTGTAGGAAATAACCTGCCATATTGTACAATACTGTGTTATAACTTGGATTCCAGAAACTCGACAAATGCGCATGTTCACTATCTCGCTAACATTCAAAACACGTATTGATCTAAATATTATCAACTCGGCAATTCTGTGGAGCTCACTAACACGTATTGATCTAAATATTATGAACTCGACAATTCTGTGGAGCTCGCTAACAGTATTGATCTGAATATTATCAACTCGGCAATTCTGTGGAGCTCACTAACACGTATTGATCTAAATATTATCAACTCGGCAATTCTTTGAAGCTCACTAACACGTATTGATCTAAATATTATTAACTCGGCAATTCTGTTGAGCTCACTAATAAACCGTGCTTGGCAATGGAACTTCTGTCATCCATTATAAAAATAATAAAAGTGTGTTAGTTTAATTACTGAATAACTCAATAGGGCGTACTACATTTTCAAAGATATAATAGCTTGGGATTCTGAATTATACGTTTTGGTAAACTTAAAAACAGACAGACAGACACACATAGATATATTCATGATGTCAGAGAAACACGTAGATTCAAGTCTTAATATCAAATGATAAAAAACCCTTAGGAGCAGAACATGTAGAATCTTAGGAGTTCTGTTTTTATTATACAGTGAGTAGTGAGATCAGTCAAATTTTACATAATTCTCTCGTATTTTTAAAGAAACCCCACAACGATTTTATTTTATGTTATTAAAATTAACTGTTTATTCCCGAAGACACACATAAGATCCAAGTTGATGATTAAATGGTCGGTTTTAATGTTCGTGGAACCTATTCACAATAATGTTATGTTTCTGTGGGGAATTGAAGCATGTTGTTCTGTGATTATAAAGCTATTACCTCTATTAGCACACTAACACTCTAAATGAAATGAGTGATATATATAGGGGTGCAGAAGTGTAGATTGAAATACTGAGTTACCTGAAAAAAACCTGTATCTAACACAACCCCTTTAACAAGCTCATCACACACACACTGTATAGTAATAAATATTACTTAACAGGCTGGATACAAATTATAAAGTGTGGAAATTTAAATAATTGATAATATGACAGGAGCACTAATCTTTTATTATTATTTGGAATATGTTTAATGATGTGACTTTGATGTTATTGTGGGGTAAGTGGACTTTTCACTGAATACTTTGGTGCAAGGACTAATATTAACGATGAAATTATCACAATGTCTTCAATATATCGGTTTGGTAAGATGAGCTCTTAAACACGAAGCTAGTAATTAAAAAAGCTTACAATTACCTTTGGCTGCAAAGTAAAACATGGAATAATAAAAAACCAAATTATTTAGCATTAGGTTTGTTTATTTGTTTTGAATTTTGCGCAAAGCTACACGAGGGCTATCTGCGCTAGCCATCCCTAATTTAGCAGTGTAAGACTAGAGGGAAGGCAGCTAGTCATCACCACTCACCGCCAACTCTGGGGCTACTCTTTTACCAACGAATAGTGGAATTGACCGTCACATTATAACGCCCCCACGGCTGAAAGGGCGAGCATGTTTGGTGTGACGGGGATTCGAACCCGCGACCCTCAGATTGCCAGTCGAGCACCCTAACCACCTGGCCATGCCGGGCCCTTAGCATAAGACAAATTTTTACAGAAGTTTTCCTTTTAGCACAATAATGTTTACTGAAACTATTTTCATACCAATCCTCATTTGATGATTGCAAATAAAACAATTAAAAACGCAAGCGGGAATTTAATGTCTGATTTTGTTTTTGCCCAATAGTTAGAATAGACCTTTATTCGGTAAGTTGAATTTCATCGTTATCTTAATTTAGAGTTCGTTAAGTCATTTACATCGTAATGGCTTTCAGTGAGCGAAGTAAATTATAGGATTAATAATATCTGAAAAATTTTAAAGAAACTCATCAAATTAAGAAAGGGTCAGGTGTAATTTTATTTAATGTGTTTTTTATAAAGCCAGTTTTTTTTATAGGAAGTGTTATTTGAACTCAACTTTGTCACTAAACTAAACCAAAGCAATTCTCAAACTCAGGCTTAAGGTTTTAAAAATGTAAATTTAATGTTTATATTAAATATAGAGGAATTTGAGCTTCTTTGGCATAGTAAGATATTTTTGGTCGGGGAAAGAATTGTCTTGGGCAACGTAATATGTGGATTACGTGTACAAAAAATATAAGGAGTCCAGGCCCGGCATGGCCAGGTGGTTAGAGCCCTCGACTCGCAATCTGAGGGTCGTGGGTTCGAATCCCCGTCACACCAACCAGGCTCACCCTTTCAGCCGTGGGTGGTGATGACTAACTGCCTTCCCTCTAAATTAGGGACGGCTAGCTTTGCGCGAAATTCAAAAACAAACAAATAAGGAGTCCAAATGTTTCTTTCACAATACCGATATAGTCTTTAAACGTTTATGGAATACTTAAATGGAACCCCACCGCATTTCTTTTTGGTTTGAGAGTCGATAAGTTCAAATATTTCTTTTCCTTTTCCTTTTTGAAATAAATCACGGTTCCCTAACCTAAGGATTTAAGAAATAAAATAAGCGTCAATTAAACGTTTTGTTTTCTTAACACCCAAGCACTCTGTTATAAAAACAATGTGTAACCGTATATTGAGTTTAAGAGTTCAGCCTAGTTAGATACCTATTAAAGCAATAGATGTAAGGGCAAATAAAAAAGAACACTTGATTTTCAAACTGTCGGATGGATTGGTTCACAATTTTAGGGTTAAATTCCAGACATTTTTACTTCAGAGAATTTTTATTATTTTCCCCAAGTTATGTTGCTTGATTTATTTTAAAGTAAGTTTATTTTTTCCGTTATCTCTAAAAGCTATGTCCTCAAATAATCAGTTTTAAGAAAAAATTGAAGGAAAAGCACTGAGCATGTCAAAATGTAACATGTTTTTCCCTATCAAGTACTTCGTATTTAATTAAGAAATGATTCCATTTCTCCGAAGATAAAGTTCCTTACCTTCTCATTGCCGATTAAATACTATACTTAGACAAGTAAGTACTAACAAAAGACAAAGTTCCCAGTATACTTCAATTATTAATTGAATTTGAAATATATTGGTATTCAAGAAACAGTAATTTTCTTAGTTTAGAAATTACTTTGAGCTGAAGTTATATTTCAGTAAAAACACTGAGTTTTTTTTTTACATTCCAGTTTTTTAGGTAATTCAATTCTTGAACGGGTAACTAATTCCATTGCTCTCCTTCTTGAATTCAGGGGTTTAACCAAATTTTTATTATCTTCATTAACGTATACGTGGGTCATTGCCAATTTTCAGAAAAGAATCTATTTAAATTTCCTAATTGAGTAAAGGAATTTTATAAGAGTTCAAACAATTTGAAAAAAATCACTATTATTTATGTGAAAAACGTAAAAGAACAGAGTGTTCATTTAAAAGTTTTCATGTCCAGTAAGAGGTAGCCAGAATGAATAAAATGATCCTAGAAGATAAGATACAGAGTGTAATAATCTGCTGCTTTCATTAATATATTACAGATATCAAATATTTTACTAAATTATATTCCTTTTAATACCATTTGTAAACATTTCAGTTCTCCATTTTATACCATGAAGTTAGTTTAAAACAGACGTTTAGGCCTGTTGTTTGTGTGTAAGTGGTAGTTCCTTTTGTATTGCAGCGGGCATAACATTCATAGAGACAAATCCAGTTCAGTACGCCACCGAAGGTAAAAACTTCACCCTCGTCTGCAATGCCAGGGCCAATTCTTCGCCTATTCTCTCCTTCAGCTTTGGAAATAAATCAATCGAACAAGGTTTGTTTGTATATTTTATTGGGCAGTTGTAGATGGTCGATTGCAGACAAATGTATTGATGCAGTTGAAAGTATTCACATAAATCGATATGAACAGTATCCCTACTCATTTGTATAACTTTGTAAGTGGATTATTATTTTTTGACAAAGAAGTTTTCTTGAATACTTAAGTGGGCTAATTACATTTTACATTATGAAACAATACTGTGTTAAATTGTTTTTAAATATATAGGTAACAAATATTATTGCTTGTAAAAAGTAGCCGGAATCACCATGTTAGCAAAAATTATTCAATCGGTCGTTGTAAATTTCACCAGTTTACAAGATATTCATACAACAATTTGGATAACTTGATTCTGTATTATATGCAAGAGTTAACTCATAAATACTCAAGATAAGTTACATTTTTGGACGAATTTATCATATGCCAATGTAACACTTATGAATTATTGAACAAAAACATATACAGAATACTTAGCTATGCTACTTTTTTCATGTTTCGAAAATTGCTTCATTAATGTAGTTAATTTTACTTCTATCGAAATTCAGTAAGTGTAAACTCTTACGTAAGTTTTCCATCACTAGAAGGTGAACGCAGAGCTTCTACAGAAAATGTAACTTGCAAAATACTTTTACTGCTAATTGGTATAGTGTTCTTTCGACGAATCGAGATAAGTTTTGAAAACTAAGAAAAATAGAAGAGTCATTGACAGTTGGTTCACTAATTTTGAATTACTTGCTAAGAAGCTTGCATCATTTTAACTTAAAACTCAGAGGTTAAGTGCAGAACATAAAGTGGGTACTAAATCTGCTCGAATTTATCTATAATAGATATCAAACGTTTATCAGTAGTAATCCTAAGTACATGAAAACTGTGGAACTGAATGCAAAGTTGAACAAAGGCCAGAGCCAGGGGCTTTTGAAATGAACTATTGTAAAATCTTATGATTTGGTAAATCCTCATAAGAATAATTAAAACAGTTGTTTATAACGTAAGTTAGAAGTAAATGACAATAAAGACCATCTTTTACAACTGTATCCATGGTAAATAATGCAGTGATGAAAGGGTTCTTTCATGTGACTTGCAAACGAAACAACTGAAATATCAACAGATCTTAATGATATAGTGTAAAAGGTTGCTATAACTAAAATTCTATCTAATTACTAATAATATCATTTAGCTGAACAATGCAAGGTAGTGGAACTAGATGCAAAAATCAAAGTTTAACCCGAGTTTTAACTTCCACGAATAGAGTGAAATATTTCAACTGAACAATTTACACATGTTCTAATGTGTAGCTACTGAACATGATTGTCCTTTAAAGTAACAAATAAACAGTGGAATATTCTTAAACATCGAATTATGTTTATTACATGAGAAAGTTTAGGAAATTTTGTATAACGATTTTTTCCTGCACATGGCCACTTGGTGTTAACAGTGGAGTTGTCTGGACAAATATGTGAAAAGTCAGTATAGATTAATTCGTTGTATTCAATAATTACATACAAAAAAATCAGTCCTGTCAGAAACCAACAGGAAGGTATGAAGTGAAACTCTTATTTCATTCGATAATTAAATTTACGATAGAAAAACTCCTTTCTTAAAAAATAACGTTTCTCTAACATGCTTAATGATAGGATGGTCAGAAGCGTAACGTACTAAGCAACAACACAAAACATCAGTTGACTCTACTGGTTAATACGTATCTCCAGCCTTGATTAATGGATGTTTTTACAACTTGAATTAAAGCACAGTTTGGAATATGAAGAAGATGGGAGCATGTGATAAACAGGAGTATACATCAAATATTAAAATAATTATTCTTTTGGTGTTGACCATTAACGACCGTTTAGAAGCTAAAAAGAATAAGACTGTGGAAGAAGAGCTTATTGTAGTTTTACTACAAGAGCAACTCAACAGAAAGTAGGTACTACCTGAAACAGATATGGTTGTGTGGCACCATTGTTACAGAGAGTTGAAATATTAAAGTGGTGGAAGCAAGTGATGTAATATAAACCGTTGTCTTGTAAAATTAGAGGTTATGGCGCATAATTATAATACTTGGGACAACCAAATAAGGTTAAAACGTATTTCATGAGTAGTTTAAATTAAAATTGGTTCGTTGTGAAATGGGCCTCTGAATGATATTTCAATTGTAGTATTACTTTCATAAAAACAAAGTTATGGCTTACAAATATTCTTAGTAGTTATTAGTGAGCAAAAATTTCAATGTTTTATTTATTGGATTTCTTTAACACATAATTTTTGTACATCTTATTATAACCCTTATAACAAGCATATCTCCAAACGTACCCTGCGCAAGTTCTGCTAATGGAACATGATCATCTGTTAGTCCTTATAACAAGCATATCTCCAAAAGTGCCCTGCGCAAGTTCTGCTTATGGAACATGATCATCTGTTAGTCCTTATAACAAGCATATCTCCAAAAGTGCCCTGCGCAAGTTCTGCTTATGGAACATG